TCGCGTCAATTCGAACGCGTATTCGTCAATTTTTTCGAACGCGTTCGCTATTCCGCATTCCGCGAGATCTGTGTACAGTAATGTCTCCCTAACTGACGCTCGGATTGTACACAAAAGTGGACAATTTGGGAAGAGGAGATACCGATTATTCGAGCCTCGCGTCTCGTTCTTTACAGTCACCGACACTCGGTTAGTATAAAAACGAGGTACAAGCCTCGAATAATCGCATCTCCTCCTCCAAAATTGTCCATTTCCGTGGACAATTCGAGCGTCAATTAGGGAGACATTACTGTATTGGCGAAAGAATCGACGAGAATCGAATTAAAGTTGCGACTTTAACAGTCGGACAGTAACTTTGTCTTGTTTTATGTATTTTCAAGTATTGCCTAATGATATTAGAATTTAATGAACTATTTATTATTAGCAATTATTCGAGCCTCGCGTCTCGTTTTTTACAGTCACCGACGCTCGGCAAGTATAAAAACGAGATAGAAGCCTCGAATAATCGCATCTCCTCCAAAATTGTCCATTTCCGTGGACAATTCTAGCGTCAATTAGAGAGACATTACTCTGTGTGCTCTTCGCACGACAACTTCGCTCGAGTTTACTCAAAAGTTTGCCCCCGCGCGTATCGCGTGAAATATCATACCTCGCCGAACTCGATATTCCCCGGCGAACAAACAGCCGAGACGATCTCTCTTAAAATTGGTTTTTCCCGGAGCTGATTTCCATGGAATGTGTTTTCTTAGGAATCGATTGTTGGTAGTCGGGCGTTTCGATTAAATAGCTGGCATACCGACGAGGTTTCCGTTTTCTTTTTTTTTTTGCCTCGGCCGGAAGCGAGCGATCTTAGAACGTGTTCCCGAGGGTCCAGTCGCACGCGGCGCCTGCTGACCGTACGCTTCTCGGGGCTAATACCTTCCGATTGACTACGCTCATCCCTTAATGAAATTCTTTCAACCCGGGCGCGACCCGTTCGCTCGCCGACCGGCTGGCTGGCTTTGCCGTCGAATTTTCTCATTATTACGGCTCCCTCGACCGTGTTTTCCGCCGTCATTGCTATTCTTAGAGGCAGTTAGAGAGGGAGACAAAGATAGACAAATAGATAGATAGCTAGATAGATAGATAGATAGCTAGATAGATAGATAGATAGATGGATAGCTAGAGATTGAGAGGGACAGTCCGAGTCTTTCGATCGAGATCGCTCCGATCGCCGTTCGGCCGCGTAAATCGCGGCTCGCGAGAGCATTCCGCTTTGGAACGTGGACGTTGATCTTGCGAACCCGAGGCCTGGCTCGACGGGAACAGGCCCCGGGAGTTGAGCAATCTCTGTCTGTCCGAGCTAGGCGCCGCGCGACGCATTAAAATTAGCCGCAATCGGAACGCGGGATCGCGCGGACACACATTATAATAGTATATTAATTTATTGATTATCGACTGGCCGCGATGCAATGCGGNTTTTAACGAACAATAATTATAGAAACTTCTCTACGCCTTAGATTATCGAAAGATCCGCAGCTTGTCCATGTTACATTAAATTTTAGGGAATCCCGGCTGTCACGGATCCATGATAAAATCCTCATCGTCGAACCGCGGTTATTCTCGCGAGCTTAAAAACTGGTCTGCGTCGGTTACAAGAAATAAAGAGGTTCGCTGAAAATGTATGCTCTTCCCTGATTCTAACACGTTGTTCAGAACCGGTCGCGTCAATTCGAACGCGTATTCGTCAATTTTTTCGAACGCGTTCGCTATTCCGCATTCCGCGAGATCTGTGTACAGTAATGTCTCCCTAACTGACGCTCGGATTGTACACAAAAGTGGACAATTTGGGAAGAGGAGATACCGATTATTCGAGCCTCGCGTCTCGTTCTTTACAGTCACCGACACTCGGTTAGTATAAAAACGAGGTACAAGCCTCGAATAATCGCATCTCCTCCTCCAAAATTGTCCATTTCCGTGGACAATTCGAGCGTCAATTAGGGAGACATTACTGTATTGGCGAAAGAATCGACGAGAATCGAATTAAAGTTGCGACTTTAACAGTCGGACAGTAACTTTGTCTTGTTTTATGTATTTTCAAGTATTGCCTAATGATATTAGAATTTAATGAACTATTTATTATTAGCAATTATTCGAGCCTCGCGTCTCGTTTTTTACAGTCACCGACGCTCGGCAAGTATAAAAACGAGATAGAAGCCTCGAATAATCGCATCTCCTCCAAAATTGTCCATTTCCGTGGACAATTCTAGCGTCAATTAGAGAGACATTACTCTGTGTGCTCTTCGCACGACAACTTCGCTCGAGTTTACTCAAAAGTTTGCCCCCGCGCGTATCGCGTGAAATATCATACCTCGCCGAACTCGATATTCCCCGGCGAACAAACAGCCGAGACGATCTCTCTTAAAATTGGTTTTTCCCGGAGCTGATTTCCATGGAATGTGTTTTCTTAGGAATCGATTGTTGGTAGTCGGGCGTTTCGATTAAATAGCTGGCATACCGACGAGGTTTCCGTTTTCTTTTTTTTTTTGCCTCGGCCGGAAGCGAGCGATCTTAGAACGTGTTCCCGAGGGTCCAGTCGCACGCGGCGCCTGCTGACCGTACGCTTCTCGGGGCTAATACCTTCCGATTGACTACGCTCATCCCTTAATGAAATTCTTTCAACCCGGGCGCGACCCGTTCGCTCGCCGACCGGCTGGCTGGCTTTGCCGTCGAATTTTCTCATTATTACGGCTCCCTCGACCGTGTTTTCCGCCGTCATTGCTATTCTTAGAGGCAGTTAGAGAGGGAGACAAAGATAGACAAATAGATAGATAGCTAGATAGATAGATAGATAGCTAGATAGATAGATAGATAGATGGATAGCTAGAGATTGAGAGGGACAGTCCGAGTCTTTCGATCGAGATCGCTCCGATCGCCGTTCGGCCGCGTAAATCGCGGCTCGCGAGAGCATTCCGCTTTGGAACGTGGACGTTGATCTTGCGAACCCGAGGCCTGGCTCGACGGGAACAGGCCCCGGGAGTTGAGCAATCTCTGTCTGTCCGAGCTAGGCGCCGCGCGACGCATTAAAATTAGCCGCAATCGGAACGCGGGATCGCGCGGACACACATTATAATAGTATATTAATTTATTGATTATCGACTGGCCGCGATGCAATGCGGTATTCATAGAATTTACTATCAGTCCCGGGCACGCTGAATGCATGCATTAAGCCCCGGCCCGGCCCGGCCCGGCCCAGCCCGGCGCCGAGCCGAGCCGAGCCGCAGCGCGCGCGACTTTGCATTCGTGATTCCACGGGAATCGAATGATTTTGTGCGGCCGGATGAATGGGGCAACGCCGATCGGCCGTGTCCCACAACCCCCGCAAAAATCGAAGCTTCCCGGCCCCAGAGGCTCTCTGTGTGTTTGCCTATTGAATGCCACCGTTAAATTCGGCGATCCCGCACCCGACCACCCGTGCTCGCAGTTTTACAAACAGTCTTGAAACGCCGCGCGCGATTAAGAGCATTGATTTCGAAAATGTGGAACCGGTGATTTGGAGTTTTAGGGTGAATAGGGTCCTCCAAAATCTCGAGGACCCGTTTAATTAGGAAAGCGGATTTTTAGCGGTGTGAAAAAATCGCGTTACTTATACGGGCTTCCCGTGATATTTATCTTCGAGGCTTCCGTGGAGATTTAAACGAGTTAAGCAATGTTTTATCAGCTCGTTGTCCTTCTATAGATCCGTGAATTGCGCGATCACTATCATCCGGCTCGTATCGTATAGATTTTGACGGTGTTAATTCGATCGGGACCAGAATTCGGTGGCGGCGATCGGTCGGGGACAGCTATGAAAATGGATGTTGCAATTGGGATATTCGCAAATCGAATTTCTTGTTACATCGATTATGTGAAATAATGCGATATCGCGATATCTCGTCACGGAAGATTCCTTGCTTTGATCCCGGGGAATTTAACCTTTCACGGCTAGCGCTGTGATCTATCGTTTTTTCTCTCTCTTTTTCTTGTTAGAAAGCACGCTTTCCCGATTTTTAGCAGTATTTTCGAGACTGTCTTTCGATCAAGAACGGCTTTCCACGCGATGCAGATAGATCGCACGTAATAATTCATTTCACTGGTTCATAAAACCGTCGGTAATTAGTCTGCGGACTTCGCGTATCGATATCGCCGGCAATTATATAAAACCAATAAGTGCCCCTATCTGTCTCCTCGATGACCGTTTCCATAAAAAGAATCGCCTGCGAAACCTCATGCTAATATTACGTTGAAAAATATCGAAGCGTTTGCGCAGCGTAATTCGATGCCATTTTATTTTCAATTCGTCGAGGCCATAATAATTCTTCTAAAAATTCACCGATAAAAATACAAGTTCACGATAAAGTATCCGAATATTTCTTTTATTTTAAATTGATTCGCGCGAACGTGAAAAAAAATGATACCCATTGATTTGTTTTCATCCATAGAAGCGCGTCGAATCGTTCGTCCAAATTCACTCGTAAAAATAAAAGTCGACAACAAAGCATTTAATTCTTTTATTTCCCATCGATTGACAGGTAAAAAAAATGACACTCCACCGGATCGTTGTTCATCCATTGTGTTCCGAATGGTTCGCGAAATGTTCCCAAATGTTATCGAGTTTGCAGTGAACGTGGAACAACGAAGTTATTTGTTAGTTTCCGAACGATCGACGCGAATATTCGAAACGAAATTTCCGTTCGACCGAGGAACGAAAAGTTGGCAAGTAGAAGTAGAATAAAATGTTTCGCAACGTTTCGCAGGAAGTTTCGCAACGCGAAAATGTAATTCGGGTCCGCGGGACACATAGCAGTCGGGGCGGCCAGAATTCGGTGCCGGGCGATCGGTCGGTCGCGGCCGATCGATCGCGGTCCCGTCAAAAATCCTGCCATTCCTGGAGGTCAGGATCGTTGCCGGTCCGAGGCGGCAGGAATTGGCCCGTCGGTTTCGACGATGGTAGGTTAGGACATAGTCGGCTCTCTACTCACCCGTATGCAGGCGGGTATGTTGTTGTACATGGCTGAGCTGCTTGAACCTGCGGTCGCAGTAGCTGCATTTGTACGGTTTCTCGCCGGTGTGGACCCTGATGTGCTGCACGAGCTGGTGGTTGCTGGAGAATGACTTGAGGCATTGCTGGCACTGGTGCGGCTTTACCTCGTTGCCGGCGATCATGCCGCCCGGGCCGACGCCGATCGGCCCGAGACCCGCCAGTCCGCCGGCCACGCCGCCGCCTGGCCTCGCTGTCAGGGCACCCGCCGCACCCAGCTCTCTCGCGTGCATCTGCATCGCGCTCTTGTGCATGAAGATCTGCGAGAAGAACTGCCGGGGTTAGTTGGTACGCTGCACTTTTGGCCGAGCGACGGGGGATGGCTGATCGACGGGAGACCCGACCGCTTATCGATCCCCATCGATCGCCATCTACCCCTGGATCTTAGGCGGGGAACGCGCCGCGAGCTGCCCGAGACCTCGACTCATCCGATTTCTCTAGGAACCTTTTTCGGTGTTACCGGGACAGGACCTCTGATTTTAGGGAACTTGGGACGTGCATTTTTGCGATAGCGCGTTGGCTGGTGGAGTGATGTCTGAGATGGAAGATCGGGATGTAGGGTAATGGAGTCGATTATTTTACCATGGGGTGACCAGTTTCTCCGCCTTTGGTTTGTGTTCAAGCAGAATTAACTTAGTTAAGTAAGTAAGTATGTTAAGTAATAAAAATGTGTTTATTCAGAAGTGAACAAAGTAAGAGAGTACACAAATTTAATATGTATTATTCGATAAATATTTATATAAATGAAGTAATTATAGTATTATATATAATTTTAATCAATATTATCATATACTAATACTATTAATAATATGATATATACTATTTATTAATAGTATACTATTATAGTATAGTATACTATACTATTAATATTATATATAATACTAGAATTACTTTATTTATATAAATACTTATCGAATAATACATATTAAATTTTTCTATTCTTTTATTTCGTTCGCTTCTCAATAAATACATTTTTCTGTCCCTTTATTTCTCGAACGAAAAGAATTAACACGTCTTATTCGATAAACATGAAGTTAATTACACCCGATTACAAACCAAAGGCACAGCAATTGGTCACCCCGCAATAACCGGCTGAACTACCCTACCGTTCATTTGTCAGATCGTTCAAGTCTCTGAAACGTGATCTAGTTTCCCGAGGAAAACACTTTTAGCACAGGATTGTTGTAAGCGATTCGAGATTGAAATTGTCCTGGTGTACAAGTAGGAGTCAGTCTACATCGGACACAAAGTCGTTGAGGTCGAGTTTTCCTTGAAAATAAAAATGATTTTACAGGTTGAATAGAAAATTTTGACCGATAAGGACAAAGGTCGATCAAATTCAGGGGGATGAAAAATTGAAAAGAACCGGGTGTCCACGATGAAAGGATGAATAAAAGGATAAAATCGAATGGAACAGAATCGATAGAATGGAAGAACATAAAATGAAGGGAACAGATAATTTACAAAGAATGAAATCGGTCTGCAGGAACACGGTTCCAATGAATATCGCAGGTCCAAGGCAGTCGCCGCGGCCTCCCCTGTTCGGTTGTGTACGGTTCGAGCGATCCTCATGATTTTCTCATGCAATTATCGGATGATGAGAATCGAAAAGTCCGAGTTCGCAGACCGTTGCGGTATCGTTTGCCATCTGAGTTATTCATAGGCGAAACCAGCAGTCGGCTGTTGTGCACCGCGATAGTTTCGACTCGTTCGAACCACGCCGTTCACTCCCCCGATTTCGCCTTCAGCTCCCGGCGCGATCCATTAATTAAAAGTTCACGCACGATGATGCAACGAGGCCGATACTTACGCGAACTTGCTCGACGCATTGTCGCGAGGGCTCGGTGTTTCGGTCGGATTTTTCGGGACGATTCGATGGACGATTTCACGGAGCCGACGCAGCTTAGAGATTTAGCGTTCCCCCGAGCGAAGCTCGATTTTATTGACACTTTCCGATATTCGGTGTTCATTGTTGCTAGTTGGAAGTTTATGTTTAAAGCGGCTTGATTGAGGCGATGCTCTGGACATTCGTATAGACCACTTGCGACGTTAAATTTTCATTTTTAAATCGTATAATCGATGATCGTTTCGACTGAAGCGAGACGAACTTAACTAGGATCCGAAAATCGAACTCTAGCTTATCGAACGAAAAATTGTGCGAAAAGATGCGCAAAAATTGCGCAATAAATAATTGCAAAACCTACGCATTAAAACGGACTGTTTTTAACACAGAGAGGACACCTAGCTAGATCGGGAAGCAAAATTCCCAGGTCTTTGCGAAAAGAGTACCAAACGAATCACTCGAAGTCCATCCTAGAACAATACGATCAAACGAAACTCAAATACCAACGTCTCCGAAATCTCTCTACCAATGATCTGTTCGCGCAGAACACTTGTCTAAGCTCGAAACATCCTCCCTGAATCATTTCTACACGATCGTCTTCCCACCGGACGATCGGCGACTCAACCCTTCCCAAGAGTCGGATTCTCATCGCGAGCGAGTAAAAATCGGTCGTTTTGCTTCCGACTTCCGTGGTCCCAGAAAGCGACTCGTAACCCGGCACGCTGTCAGTCGATTTGCAGTCGATTCCCGACGAAATTCATAGGCGGCCGGTAACAGCTGGTCGCGGGAAGGGTCAACGTCCGTGCTCGCGGTGCTTTTCGAAAGCAGCCATCCGATCGATGTTTTTCGGATCGGGCACGTGTGCGTCGCGCCGGTTTGTGTGGGTGCAACGAGCGGCCACGTAACGCACGTAACGCAGGGAACAGACGAGCGTTGCGTACTGGACGTGGACGTACGTGTACGGGCGATCAGGAGGAACGCGAAACTGCTGTAAGGGCCGGGGGCACACCGGCGGGTGGAACGGCGAGGAACGCTTGATTTCGGGTTCTCGTTCGGGGAACAGGTGTTGCTCGCCGATGGTGTGGGTGTAGGTGAACGAACGAAAGGGTTAACGTTTAAAACGAGCGTACGGTCCGCGGCGAACGGGGAGAGAGAGAGAGGGAGAGAGGGAGAGAGAGAGGGAGAGAAGAGAGTCGAGAGAAGTTCGTCGGAATTAAAGAAGAGAACGAGAGGCCACTGTTCCTCGGAGCGAGGAGACAGCGGAGGGTCTGCGGAGGATTTTATTAAAATATGTTAAAACTGTAATTAAAATCGAAAAATCTCGCGAGAAGTTTTAAGAATCTTAGCTCGGCCACCCTTCGGCCGCGACAAAGACGAGCAAAGAGAAAGAAAGAGAGAGACAGCCGGGGAAGTGGAGGCGCGCCGGAGTGCGAGAGCGAGAGAGAATTGAAATTGTCACCGGGGGTTCTCAAGTTTCCACGACTTCCAACCCTTTCTTCGGCGTCGCGACGCGTCGGTGGATATTTGACGGGCGACCTTCGACACTGCGCATCCCTGATTCTTAATCCCCGTGGGAGAGGGAGAGCCTGCGACGCGATTTTATTCCTCGTTTTTTCGCCCCCCCCCCCCCGGACCGGGCCTCTTCTTCCGTCCCGGAGACAAATCAATCCGAGTCCTGTGTTCCATCCCCAGATTTGAATAAAATTTCGCCGCGGACCGGATGCACGGCTCTCTCTTCCGGCTGGCTGTCGCGCGATCGTTTTTTAATGAAAATTTTTCCGTCCCGCCCGCGGATCCAACCCCTGCCGTCGGTTTCTTCGCGACTGGAGCCGACGTTCCAGCGCGGTCGAGGGCCACCCGGGGGGTGGGAGACAGAGACTCGATGGCGACGAAGTCGAGTTGCGAATTTTTAACGACCGTCTCGAGTGGACGTCGAGATTTTTTCGGGGAAAGTTCCCGGCAAGAGACGGCCGGCCGTGATTTTTGAGCGGATACTAATTAAGTCGACCCACTAAGCCGCCGGCTGGCCGCCCGGTTTTTCCCGAACCCGAACGCCATACGTCCATTAATCAAATTTTTATCTCCCGGCAGACGGAAAATTGCGTCCCCGACGCCCGGACCACGCGGAATCTTTTTTTCTGATTTATCGTCGTCGCCGCCGCGGAAAAAAGGAGAGAATCCGAGCGAGAAAAAGAGAGAGATAAGGGTGGGGGCGGGGGGAGAAGGAGTTGCTCGGCCGCGGCCCGCCGGCTTAATGTCCTTAATAATGGAAAAATATATCAACCGACACCCTGTGTATTTCCTAAGAAGCATCCCTCGTCCCAACCCTTCCTCTACGCCATCCCCGGCGCCCGTTAAACAGGAGCCTCGGTCTCTCGTTGCTGCTATTTTTTTTACAGAGCTCTCAGTCCACCGAAGAACGTTCTCGAGTCGTCGCTGGAATATATTTCCTACAATAGGCATATTGATGTTTTAGATAACTTTGCCAATATTTGCTCGAAAAGATTGCTTGCGCATCGAACGACTGGATCAAGCGAGTCTAGCGAAGTATTCGAACAGGGAAAAATCCGAGCAAACGTTCTTTGTCCCGGAGCTCCGTGGAACGAGCGTACACTTTTCGGACGGACTTTCGCCGTGGCAATCCGACTTTTGAATCGAACAACGAAGCGTTTAGCGTTGTTTAAATTCGATCGTTTTCGCCGGGGTTCCCGAAGAATGGTGGTTTCGGCGATGAGCGATCGCGACATTACCATTTACGATCGCGATGGAAAAGCTCGAAGGGAATACGAAATGCGGGCGAAGCGTGAATAGCTCATCTTTTCCGTGCTAGTCCTTACAAGGAGAACGTTTTTAAGGACCGCACTAGACAGCCGTGTCTAATTCCACTCGAATTTACGTTCGTTAATGCTGGTTTGCCGAGCTACAGTATCGGATTTCTTGCTTTCGCGGGACATTGCTGAATAAATTGATTTATTCATGAGTGCAGTTCATCGAAAATCAATTGGAGACTCAATAAACGTCTTAATAAATCTCGCCGGCTCGTAGACCCGCGTAGAACCGGGCATAAAACACCAGCAATGGCGATCGACTGCCATAAACCTCGGCATACGGACGCGCTTTCTCAAAAATCTAAATCAAAACAGTGCCCGGACACCACCGTCGGCCAGGAGTTAAAACATTTTTAGACCTTATATCAACCGGCGCGAAGAACTATGAACATTAATCGGCCGCCATAAACCGCGGCAATCAAGACTTTCCGAACGAAACCTTGATCAAAACGGCTTCGAAGCACGGTCGTCCCGTGAGCCGGACGTTTTTAGACACTTCGGAGCTACTTGACCCGTTCACGCATAAATATTTTTACTTGCGCGTAGCATGCCAGAATTGTAAATCGTTTTTTTAGACATCCCGGCCTTTTCGAACCTCTCC